CATGGAAAGCCCTGGAAAGAGGGATAAATGAGCAGGACTAGGGGGAGGGAGACGGGACTGGACGGGACGGGACATGGCTATAGGACGTGCATCAACTCCCTGCCGATATTACATTCCAAAGCTGGGAGGTGTAGGAAATTAATCAGGGAAGAAGGCAACGAAGATATCGGCCTCTCTATTGTCCCTGGGGGGTGGAATGGCGTGAGGTCTCGCAGGTGGCAAGCATATGCAAACTATTTTGCAGCTGGAATTTGATGTTTTGCTTGGCGTAGGGGTCAACACGTGCATTAGGTGGCACCGTCCCAACCGCTGGGACTGGGCTTGTGGTTTCCCTGGGATCTGTGTGGATCTCGGAGAGGGCTGGGGGGCCAGGGACACCGTGCACCCCTATCCGCCTACCTGTGCCTCTCCACGGAGCCCAAACCTTGCTACTGGCTAGCACCGCAATCCCACTGCATCACCCCGCCGAACGCCGCCGGGGCTGCGCTTCAAGCTGAAGCAGATAACAGCTGCCCTGCGTGCTCCGGGGAGCGTCCGTACGGGGCGGTAGGAGTCCCCGGGGGGCAGGGACCGATAACAACCGAGCCCTGGGCTCCCTCCCCGGGAGCAGGCCCACCGGGACCGTGCCGTCGGGGCCGCTCCGCGGGTGCACGTTGCCGGTGACTCACAGCTCCCGTGACAGTACCAGGCCCCGGCCTCCCCAGGCGGAACATACCGGCAGCGTCCGGGCACAGGCGCTCTGCAGGCGGCCCGGCCACGCTGGCTCGCCTTTGCTTCCCCTTCCCACTTAAAAAAAAAAAAAAAAATTTTAATTCCGTTCAAGGCTGGAATTCATCGCCCAGCAGAGGGGTACAGTGGGAGAGCCTGCACCAGCAACTTCCAAGCGAGCAGAGCAATGCCAACCCCGAGTGCCAAATCAGGGAACACCACTGGATCCGCCTTTGGTCCCCCTCGACACACCGAGCGTCTCTCCTGAAGGGTCTGGTCACTGGACGGAGAGGCTGGGGACCCCCACCGGCCTGTGGCTGCACGAAGCCTCCAGTGCATAACATGGGTGTTTTCCCTCACTTCTCTGCTTACGTTCCTGTTTCCCTGAGGGAGCGAACTCAGCACCTGTGAGAAGCGGCAGGGCTGGCCGGGGCAGCGGGTCGGCCGGCGGGGACCAGGGCTTGCAGGACCAGGGTGCCCCATCCTAACACAAGGGGCCACCCCTCATCCTCCCCCGTCTCTGCTTCCTTCCCAGCAACGCAAATCCGCTCGAGAGCGAGCGTTTAGCATCTAACCCGCTCCTAGAGGCATGTGCTTAAACAAGCCGAGTATCAACCCCACGATAAAAGTATTGGGTTATTCTGCAACGTAATCTACATCAAAGCCTCGGGGGCTGCCGGCTTGAAAAGATCCAAGATGTTTTTTAAGTCCTTATCATGTCTGTGCTTAGGGGGAGTCATAAATTCCACAGGTCGGACTAACTAACACACGATTCCTCCTTCCCTTCTCCCTCCTCGGCCACCAAAGGGCTTTCCAGCAGGCTTTTTTTTTTTAACCTTGCAAACAAAGCTCCCGGTTCCCTGTCGTTAAGGTGGGGGAGAGGGGAGGATCCCCCAGCCCGCCCCGACCTTCTCCTAAGTGACGGGAAAATAAATTCCTTAATCCAGAAAACGATTAGAAATAAAGAGGTGAATTCGCATCCCCGCAAGGGTCTCGGCAAACCGGAGCGGTCGGTGGAGGGGGGAAAGCAGGGACTGCGCGGAACTGGGATGTTTTTGGCCCGGGACGGGGGTCCCCGGGCTGTACTGCCTGCCCCGTTACCCTCCAGCCTTCCCCAGCACTGGGCCCTAGGTGACGATGAGCGTCGGCTGAGAAACGAGGTGCCTCAGATGCGGGCACCGGCCTCTGCCTCCCCGCTGGTAGAGGGCCGGGCTGTGGGCAGGGAGCAGCTGGCAACAGCATCCTGCCCCCGGAGTTCCTCACTCAATCACGCCGCTGACCTGACTCCCCCCACAGCAAGCAGATCCCCTCAGAAATTACTTATTCAACTCAAGAAATAAGCCTGGGTCTGGAGGAGGAAGGCGGGGAGCCCGGCTTCTGCCCGTAACGGGGCTCCTGTGAAAACCCTCTTCGGTGCGGGAAAGACTCACAAATGGGTGGGGGGAATAATAATAATAATTTAAAAGATATTTCCGTGCAAACGGTTTTCCGGATCAGGCACTTGTCACCTTGAGAGGAGTTAAGTCCCATTTTGCAGCTCAGGGTCTAACGAAATAGAAAAAAAAAAAAAAACGAAGGAAGCAAAAGAGGATAGATCAGGGCTTCGTCCACACTCAGGTCTCGGGGTCCGGTCCCGGGGTTCCCGCTCCTCTCCCGGGGCTGTGGCGCTGGGACCAAGTCGATGGGAAGACCCAAGGCAGGGAAGGAGCGGGCAACTGCCAGGGCCGGCTCGGGAAACCTCCAACATGCAGGACGGCGAAGAGAAAAGGGGGAATTCCCGACAGAGAGAGATACTCCCTCGCCCAAAACCTCTCGGGAAGTTCCGATAGCTGGAGAGGTCTGGCAGGGGGATAAATCCTGCCCCAGTCTCAAAGAAAGGAATCCCAAGCAGGCCCGTAGGCTTCCTCTTATTTTAAAACAAGAGGGTCCCGGGGCAGAGCCTCCCCTCCCTGCCACCGGGCACCTCGGCGGTGGGTGGGGAGCAGGGACAGCTCGGCAGCGGCGAGGGATGCTCCGGAGCATTTGTTCCCGGGGTAGTGGGCCTCGCCCCCGCCCCGGTGGGGAACGGCTGGCAGGGTCCTGTCTCCCAAGTGCTGCCCGTGCTAGGGGCGCAGTTGGAATCACCGTCCGACGGGCAAAGTCAGAGCAGGGGCCGAGAAGAGAGGAATGGAGCGCTCGCCGTGAGGCTCGGTTCTGCTCAGAGCCCTGTTCTGCTTCTTCGCTGGAGCTCAGGACTCTCATCCTTTCCGGTGGTCCCCAGACCCTCCAGCTCGGACTGGTGTCGGGTCTCATCCGAAAGCGCTGCCACCTGCTTGGCAGGGATTCATGGATGGAGACTTAAACAGCGAACCGGTCTGGTTCGGGGTTTGTCAGGCTTCTAGTGTTTTTTAATAGAACGTGTTCAGAGTTTTGTCATTTTAATGGCCCTTTCCTCCGTTTATGGCATCATCAAATTCACATCCAGATAGATCGGCTCTGTCGGTGCTTATCGGGAAAAGCGATTACACTGAAGGGACGGAGTTTCTTTTCCAGGATTACATTTCAGCCTCCCTCTCGGAGACATCTGGGGGCTGAGAGCCCGACTCCGTCTCCCCGTTACCGGTGAGGCGAGGTGAGGTGTGAAGGTGGGAATGGGCAACAGGGAGAGAAATACCCCCCGGAAAAGGCGGCTGGCAACCGTCCCCGCATCCCTGCTCTAGTGCTGCTGTCACGGTAGGGTCTCAACCGCGGCCATCAAAGACAGTCTGCGAACGACAAGTGACAGTGTGGACGCAGGCATTGCGTTACCAGCTGTGGGCAGGGTGGGGGTACCCCTTTCCTCACAGCCGGGGTACACACAGCGGATCCGAGGTGCCTCCCGCAGTCTCGTCTTCGGGAGAGATCCTCCGCCCTCACCACCCTGAGCAGCCGCTTCCCCAGGACCTCGGACCCGGGACCCTCTTGGATAATATAGATGTCGCTGAATTATTCCCACTCGCGTTAAAGCATAGCTTCGCGGCAGCCCCACGCTGGCACCAAAGGGCCCGGTGGAATGGGGGGAAGGAGAGGAAGATTTTTCAGGGAGTGCAGTTAGGGAGATCTGCCTCTGCAGAGCTGAAGTCCGCCCTCTACTACAAAACGCCTCGTCTCAGAGGGACACTCCCCGATCTGCAAAACAGCCACCCACGGGGGAGGAAAAATACCCCTAGGACTCGGTTATGTGGATCTCCTCACGTAAGACTCGGGACGCTCGCGGCCTGGGGAGCCCGTGGGGGCTCCGTAGGACTCAGCCGCAGCCGCCTCCAGCGCCCGGGAGAGCCGTCGGGGACGGCCGGTGTCGGGCTGCTCCGACAGAACGCGCTGAGAAACAGGGGGACGCTCCCAACCCCATCCATTTTTTCTCGGCGGGTGAAAGGTTTCCTCGCTGTGTCATGGGAAAAGATGCGAATATGCAAACGTTGTCTCGCATTGTCCCCGCTCAGGGTGAAAAGTTAAAGCATAAAAGCGGCGGGGGGAAGCTGAGAGGGGGTCGCCTCTTCAAAGGGGGCTGGCGGGGCCGGAGGAACCGACTGCCGCCTGGTCGGGAGCCGCCCTTCCAGGGCCTGCATTTCCAGAGCGGTTCCAAGGCGTCGGGGAGGGAAAAAGCGTGCGTGGAGGGCAAGCCGCCGGTTTCCCTGTGGGCTCGCTCCCCGAGGTGTCAGGTTCCTGAGGAGAAGGTTGTTCCCCCCTTGGTGGGGACCATCCCGTGGCTCGGTACTCAGGCCCCTGCGGGTGGGTGGGTGCTCGGGCCTAGCTGCAGCGGTGTGTACAAGGGCAGAGGGTGCTCGAGGAGAAGGCACCCCCATTCCTCGCCCCTTCCCGGCAGCGGGGCCCAGGCTGGGGTGTGCAGCGCCCGACCTCGGAGCTCGGCAGGCACATGCAGGGGGTAGGAGGCAGCGCCTTCGGAGTGGGGATTTCTCCTCTTACCTCACCTTCATCTCCAGTGACCGAGTGGGAGCGTGTGGAAGTGCCTTAGAAAAAGCAGTAGGCCATCGCGGTAGGGCTTGCTGCTTAAAACCACCACGACAAAATGGCTTTGTGGATTTTTAATCAAAACTCCCTCCTTCTCCGCCCCTTCCCCCCCAGCCCCAAGCACGGAGAAGAGTTGGTTAAAATGCTGCCTACAGATCGGCTGCGATACAGGGCTCCCATATTCCCACCCTCGCCCTTAGATCTCCCTCTCTGTCTTTTGCAAGTCTCTTGATTTCATCCTTTGAACCTGTGATTGGAGGTTAAAGTGCACCAGGTTGCAATGGAAGGAGGAAGCTCTTAAACAATAAAGGCTTGAATATTTAGCTGTGATCAGGTCGCTGCCCTCTCCTTATCTTTTTAAATGCAAATCGTCTTTTAGGGGCAGTAGCTATATACCCAGCGCCTCTCCACGTCACCTGCCTTTGGTGTGTCTGGGCCATTACTAATAGAGCCTTGTAAACAATCGTTAATCATGTAAGTGCTGCCGACCATTGGATTCGGACCGGGAGAGCGGAGCGCAGCGCGGGGCCGCGGCCCCTCCGCCTGCCCCCTCCCCGCCCCGGGCAGCCCGTCCCCAGGCAGCAGCCGCGCCGCTGCCAGAGCCCCGAGCAGCATGCGGAGAGCCGCCGCAGGGGCCCCGACAGCATGTACGTGAGCTACCTCCTGGAGAAGGACGGGCCCATGTACCCCGGCCCGGTGCGACACTCGGGGGGGCTCAACCTGGCGGCGCAGAACTTCGTGGGAGCCCCACAGTACGCGGACTACGGCGGCTACCATGTGAACCTCGACAGCGCTCAGTCCCCCGGGCCGGCCTGGCCTGCACCCTATGCCGCCCCTCTCCGCGACGACTGGGGCGCCTACGGCCAAGGGGCTCCTCCGGCCGCCGCCGCCGTCCATGGCCTCAACGGCGGCTCCCCCGCTGCCGCCATGGCCTACAACCCCGCCGACTACCACCACCACCACCCGCACGCCCACCACCACGCCGGCCCCGCGCCCCACTGCTCTGCCGGGGTCATGCAGCCCCTCAACGCCGCCAACAACGCTGCCGCTGCCGCCGTTCCCGAGCCTCTGTCACCCGGCGGGCAGCGGCGCGGCCTCTGCGAGTGGATGAGGAAGCCGGCGCAGCCCCCTCTCAGCAGCCAGGGTAAGCACGAGCCAGGGGGAGGCGGGCGGGTTGGGTGCAGCCCCGCCGACGGCTTTCGAGGGGCACCGACGGCTCCCCGGGTCACCGTGTGCAGGGCAAAGCGGCGGCGAGGGGGGAAGCCCCCCGAAACAAGCCCGCTAGAGGGCCGGTCCTGGGAAGAACAGGGTGGCCGGGCTCAGCCGGCAGCCTGTCCTAGATGCCGCGTACGGCCCCGCCGCGGATCCGGGCGGGCAGCGGCAGGAGCGGCTCTGCGCCAGGCAGCAGCGACTGCCGGCCTCGGAGCGCCGCTGCCCGGAGCTGCTCTTCTTCGGAGCAGAGCGGAATGGCTCGGGATCGCGGGGAAACACTCATTCTTCCTCCCCCTGCTCCGCTCGTCCGCTTATAGCCACTTAGAAGATTTTTATAACCAATTATAGTCATATAAATCATCGGCCGGTGTCGCTCCGCATTTGTTTCTGAGTCACTGGGCGCCTACTCTTCATTAAGGTCCCCGTGTGTCCCGGGCCTCCCGGGCGGCGGCTGCGCTGCCCCCGACCCTGCGGGCTGTGGCCGGTGGTCCCGGGAAGTGCGAGGGCGTGACAGCCCCCCCAGCCCTATTCCCCGGTGGCGGGAGGGTGTCCGTGGGCAGGACGCGGCAGGCTGTGACCGGCGCAGTGCTCCCTTGTGATGTTAATATCCTCGCAGACCCCAGCTTTTATTTCCCCCCTGCATCCGCCCGGAGACATGCGTGTCCCCCTGTTTTGATATACGGCCTCCACGACTGTTGTGTCTTTTTTCTTTCCTTTTACTTGGTCTTTTCTATATTTATATATAGTGGCCGAAAAAAAAGAGGGTGGCGACTTTCGCAGTAAATAACGAGTTCTGCCATTCCTCTCTCATCCCCTTCCTTGTGCTCCGGCAGCGGGGCTCCCCGGGCGCCGTGGGGTGCTGGTCCCGGGCACACCCGCCTGCCACGGGGAAGCCCCGGTGCCCCGGGGGCAGCCGCTAGCACCAGATACGCCCCGGGTGGCGATGGCGGCGGAGCTCTCCCAGGCCCGTCGCGCTTCCCACAGCAGCCCGTGGAGTTCCCACAGTTTGGGCTTGTGCAGTGGTGGCCGGTCCCTTGTCTCCATTCAAATTCTGCCTTTGGAGACAGTGTTTATGTTAATGTGCAGGGCTGGGGGGATGAAAGCGCTTGCCGCCATTTGTTCAGTAGTGGTAATTTAAACAGAATGTGGCTGTCATTAAGGCTTTGAGAAGGGTTTTTCTTTGATAAAATCTCCTTGTCCTGCATTGTTTGAGACTGTGTTCCCTATTCACTGGCTCTGGGGAGTTTTCTCTGATCAGGCTTGTATCTTTACAGGGTGCTTTTGTTGTGGTTTGCAGAGAGTTTACCTGAACAAAGTCAGCCTGCTAGCTATTAAGCACCTTGGGGGCAGAGACTCTCCGCCTTGGCTCCCTGGGGAACGGGAGGGCCGGGGACACAACCAGTCAGACAAGAAACCCACTGCAGAAGGGAGGTCACTGTTGCGGCTACGCGTATTCGTCGGCCCTCGCTGGCAATTGCCTTCTTTCGGATTTCGTTTGTTTTTTTTTCTAGTGGGATTTTTGAGCTCTAAAGTTGCACGTTTCAATTCGAGTCCCCGAGAAATCTCTTTATTCGCTTCCTGAAGGCCAGGGGTGAAACAGGGGGAGCAGGGCAGGGACCCCTGGGGACTCCCGAGGACCCCCGACGGCCTCTCCCTTTCCTCCTGCCTAGATCGGTGTTACTCGTTTAGAACAGAAGCCGCCGCACCCTGAACAGGGCTTTTATTTCTTTTCCTTTTTCCCTTCTCTTTGCAAAAAGTCGGTTCTCGTTAGGGAGGGCAAAACAAAAACGAAAGCCAGCAACAAGGACTCAACAAAGATGTCCCAAGCGCAACGCACGGGCTTGCGGCGGGACGCGGGCCGGCGGCAAGGCCGAGATCCGCGCCTGGCTTGCCCTTAACAGCCGGCACGCCGGGGATTTCTGTCCTGTGTCCCCAGGGAACTGTGGAACTGCTCTTGTCCCCCCTTGACTGCTGCGCTCACCAGAGCCCCTGAAAGGGAGAGGTGAGAAGGGAGCCAGAAGGCAGGGTCCTGCTAGCCCCGCAGCCGCAGAGGGGAGCACCGTGCTCCACACCGGCCCTTTAGTTTGGGCTTTCCCAACCCTGGCTTTGTCCTCCGCAGTTAAAACCAGGACGAAAGACAAGTACCGCGTCGTGTACACCGACCACCAGCGGCTGGAGCTGGAGAAAGAGTTTCACTACAGCCGCTACATCACCATCAGGAGGAAAGCAGAGCTGGCCTCCAACCTGGGGCTGTCCGAGAGGCAGGTCTGTCCCATAAGTGCCTTTCCCCACGCCGCCACGGGGCCAGGGATGCTCTGGGATCGGGATGTGTGGGGTCGGGATGCGCGAAACAGGCACGGGCTCTCGGTGCGGGCCCCCCTGGATGTGGGATGTCCCCCGGGAAACACCCCCCTCATTCTCCTGTTCTACCTCTGGCAGGTGAAAATCTGGTTCCAGAACAGGCGGGCGAAGGAGAGGAAGATCAACAAGAAGAAGCTGCAGCAGACGCAGCCCGGAGGAGCAGAGCCCCTCAGCCCCGGCGCCCCTCTGCAGGGTCCCTCAGCGGGAGCGGCCGCCGCCGGTCTGGGCCCCGCCGCCCCGCAGTGACAGCGGCCGGGGACAGCGGCACAGGGACTGCTGCTGGAGGGCACGGCAGCGCCGGGGCCGGGCCGGGCTGGGGGGCACGATGGGAGCCCCCTCCGCCCTCCCCATGCACTACAGCGCCCAGCGGGGCCGGCAGTGTGTACAGATGTACAGTGTATGTGTCTCGTCCTCCGGGGGAAGCGTGGCCATCTCTCTATTAATATTATTATTATTATGTTTGGGTGGGGTTTTTTACCCTGGAGTTTGTTAGATAAAAAGGGGGGGGCACTGCCTGACAGTCAACCCTCGGTGAATCTCAGGGATCGGTCCAAAAGACCTTAGAAATGTTGTTGGGCTAGCAATGAATTTTAACAGAAAACAAAATTAAAGCACATTTTTTTTTAATTTAATATTTTAATTTCTTCTTGCAACCAAGTGTCAGGAATGTACAAAATGTTCATCTTGCCCTAAGGCCAGAACAGACAAGATAAGGCACTGTTTAAACATTCAGAAGTGAATTGGTTAATGTTAGACACTTGTAAAAGAGCCCATAAATCTGGTGCTGATAGTCAGCCAGCCAGATTTATTAGTCCTAGTGCAGAGAAATCGGAGGAATGAAGCCTCTTCTGAAAAAGGTGTCCTGTCATGCTGCAGTGAGCAGCTTTGCTTGTGTGTGTGCCATGTCTGTCAGTTGAATTATGTGCTGTTCACCTCCTTACACTTTCCTGCTTGTTTGGAGTTTTTTTTTTCCAGTTAGTTTTCCAAAATCTCCTTGGTTTAGTCAGCTTTACGTAGGCCTCATAGCAGCCCCACCAGGAGCAGAGATCCTCAGGAAGAGCCATGTGCCGTACCACAACCCACCTTGCACAGGATGTGGCCTGTTTCCAAATGCTGGCTAGATGGTGGGGACCAGGATAGAGCTGACAAATGATTCACCTAGCAAGAGATGAAAAGCAGAAAAGTCCAGCTGATCTGGCCAAATCACCCTGGCTGTTTGCTGTGTGTAGTACTTAGGTCTGGGAGAAGCCCCACCAAGAAGTGAGGCCACACAGCCAGGCTGGGGTGGCTGCACTGCAGCTGGGGCTGGGAGTAGGACCAACTCATGTGGGCCTGGGTCCCAGCAGCAATGGGAGCACTGTCGAGCCCAAACACATCATGTAAGTTTCTGTCTTCCCCAGCATTTGGCCCAATATTGTTCTGTTTTTCCCATCAAATTTATTTAAGATATTCCATTTTACTTCTTTGGGACACTTTGTTTCCTTGATGACAATTTTCTCATCTTTTTGCTGAAAGCTATGGCCAAATGCCAGCAGGATCAACAGAATTAGATGGAGACAATTGGTTGCTAAGGCCTGGGCTGATGGTCAAGGTAGCTCTCTTCGCCTGGGAGAGTTTGGGGAAATGGTGAGCACCAGCCCCAAAGCCACCATGCTGTGTTTTGGCCACATGTAGCTCAGCATGGCATGCTGAGCTGAGGGCTGGCTGGTAGGCTTACCGCAGACGCATGGCCAGGCAAACCTGATCCAGGACTCCTATGCCTAGGCGAAGACCATGGTGGGAGGCAGAACCTTCATGCAGGCAACCTGCTTGCTTTTCTGCTTCATGCATAGTCTCTGAAAGAGATCTGGACCAGGGGACATGGGTGCAGCACCCAGGCAGTTATGCTCATTGATGTGGACTTGACACATGCCATGTCTTGATGGGTACAATGTCCATGGTTCACTCTGGACCAGAAGGAGGCAGTAGCCAGATACATCCCTCTTTACCTCTAAAGAGTCCTTGGATCTTTCTGAAGGAGCTGTTTTCCTGGGGACACTTAAAGTTCAGTAGCACCCAAACTGAGGACCCTGGCTTTGCAGCACCAACCTTAAACCAGAGGAGAGCCATTGCTTAACAGGGTTTTGCAGGCACCATGACCACTCCTCCCTTTGTGCTCTTCCCAGGAGGGCATGAGGGTTCTCGGGAGCAGTGACCATGCCAGCAGCCCCAGGTGGTGCTGTCCCTTCGAGGATGCCCTGCGGCACCCAGGTCCATCCCCGCTGCATTGATCCCCAGCCCGGCTGCTGCCAGAGCTGCTACCTGTTGCTGAGAAACGCCTGTCAATAAACCCTGTTTGGATTGTGGAGCAGAGCGCAAGGTTTGTTTGTTTAGTGGTTAGAGGTTCAAAAGTCGGCATTGTCCCACTGCAAGAGAGCACAAGTTTTTTCTCCCTAAGGAAAAGCTGGCTGCAGCAAGAGGGAGGGAGAGATATCAGTGGACCCTTTTATTTGCTTCCAGGAATAATTAATGGCAGCCCTTAAAAAGATGACCAAGGAGTTATGAAAGGCCATCAATAAGTAAATTAATCACAAAAGATCTGGGGGTTCAAGAGCTGGTGCTTTGGTGTGGTTTTGTTGGTATTTCTCCGTGTCCATGGGGCTGGGGTTGCACAGGACTGGTAGAGCCCACAACTCCTCACAGCAGTGGCGCACCCAGCCGCCCCTGGCACCAGCCTGGGCATGGCAACATTTGGGGTAGCTCCTATAACTCTTCAATAGTGTGCTCCTGGTTGGTTTTAATGCTGAAAGTATCAACATTTCTTTCTTGCCTGAAGGACTTTTGAGAAAGAGAGATGCTCCGGTTGTGGTGAAGTGCTTGATGTCAGTGAGAGTTTCCTGTCTCTAAAAAGTTCATTAGACACATATAAACAAGCCCAACAGGTTTTAAACATCCCCATTCCAGATCTTTTCCACTCTTTGCCAACAAATGTTCATTTTCTGATCTCTCCTCGAATTCTTGATGAAGGCAATGCAGAACTCAGATTTCTTAGTGAAAGGAGGAGCCAACCAAGTAAATTATATCCACACCCAATTTCAAACATTTCTCCCTCCCATCCCCAAACAAATAAACCACCAACCTTCCTGCTTCCTTTATATTCCCCATGCACCATAAAGGAGCATAAAAGGGCATAAACTGGTTACCTTGGGGTTTTGGGGAGGATATTTACAGGCATACAGATCAGTCCAGTGGCTGAACCATGACACTGAACCTCACCTCTCATCTGGGAGGGCTGAACTTGTTGTGGTGACCCCCTGCCCACCCTTCACAACTGTCCTGCAGCAGCCAAGCCAGACCAGTGGTGCATGATGGGTCAGAGCTACTGCACCATGCCTGCCTGGCAGGGGCTGGAGTGGGTGTTCATGGAGAGACTCTGACCAGGCTGTGTAAAGTTCAGGAAATCAAAAGGTTTGGCCCAAATATTGCAGGGGGGCCGGCCCCTTGCTCTCCCTCTTTTGACAGATTTTCCTGCTTCTATCACTGTACAATAACAAAGCACTTAGGATCTCTTCTCTTGGCTTAGCTTTTAGCCAAATATAAGAGTTTATCAAGAGAGCTTTCTGAGTTTTGGGCAAGAAATTACAATATCTCATAGCCTGCCATAGAGAGAGCAGGAAGGTCCTTAGATGGCAGACTTGGATGGCTTTCACTGATCTTGAGTATCTTCTAGGGATGTTATGTGTCCTCAGCCTGATAGCTGAACACTCTGGATGTGCAGTATGAAGACAGTAAGCTTTTTAAAATGTAAAGAAAAACCCAAAACTTGCATCACCAGTAATCAACAACTTCAGACATCAACACGAGTGGCTTCAGTGGAAACAGGCTTTTTCGTCAGTGGATGAAGCAGTGGCTGGAAGCATGCATCCCAGACATGTAACGGAGAGCAGAGCCCATCCTTCAGAAACCAAGGGCAGGAGTTGCTGTGCATGACTTTAATCCTGACTCCAGAGGGCTGTCCCAGGTTATTGGTTTCTCTTTGCCTCTCCATCAGCAGCTGGAGAGGAAGAGGAAATCATGGAGTCTACAATTCTGTTGACACAGCTCTGCTGGTTGCAATGCTTCATAGCCAAAATCCATGACTAAATACTTTCCCTGGGTCCCACCCAGGTAATGGAGCTACGTGCTGAAGTTTAAAGCAGTTACAAAAGTTGAATTGCCGTCAGAGAAGCAGCACTGGAGGTCTTCCAGGAGGAAACTCATAAATGGTAAGGAAAGTCAGCAGGACACAAGTCTGCCAAGGGCAAATCTAGCTGCACAGGTAGCTTGGCAAGAAAGCAAGGACACCTTGGCATGGGAGGTCATGGGACGGGTGGCCTGGTGCAGAAGAGGTCCCAGTGTGCTCACTACAAAAGCAGCTGTGGTTACTGGGGGAGAGCTATGGCAGAGAAGTGTCAGGAACCCCTGCAGACAGATGAGGAGAAACCCTCCTGGCAGCCTTAGCAGCCTTATGGGTTTTGCTCCAGCGAAGCTCCTCAGTGGAGCAAGACATTCCTTCTCTCCTCACTGATGAGGAGGGGCTCCTTCCTTCTCACCTGTGCTATGACTCAGGTGAACATAGGCAGTTTCTTCTAATCAATGCCTCAGCTTCTGCAATGCTTCCAGTTCCATTCTCAGGCTTTGGCACTGTTGGAAGTCAAACCTACCTTTCTTGAAAGAGAGGGACAGACACTTGGATAGGAAAAATTTGAGCTATTCACTGAAGCAAACAATTTGTTGCCAGGATACTGGAGTCAGAGACCCAGGAGTCCCTTTCTAGCTCTGTGTTTCTAAATTGAAGCATAATCTATTCTGGAAGATTTGCTCATCATAGTAAAAATTTTCTTCTGTCTATCTAGAGTAAGTCTACTCTCTTTTAATTTAAACTTCTATCTGCTCACTTCCAATCTGTGGATCCCTAGCACTTGAGCTGGACTGAAGACAACTAGAGAGATGCCAAATATAACATCTGGACTTATTATCTGCCTCCTGGCACTCTGGCACCCAGCTGTAACAGGCAGGGTTGAAAAGAAAGTATTTCTTATGGTGCTTTTCCAAAGGAAGAGAACAAGCCAAACAAAGCACATGGACCTTTCCCTCTCAGCATTCTTTTTCCCTTAGTCAGCTAGGTATTTTTTGGCAACTGTTGCAAGCTCATGTAGTTTTGCTTTTGAGTCAGATCCTGTTCCCTTGACATGCTTGGTGCCTTCCACAGCGTCATAGCCCATCCTTTAGATAACTTGCATAGACCAAAAGACCTTTGTGAGAGAAAAGCTGCCTTATCTTCAGCATTCTTTGGAAAGGGATGCTGCTAGCTGCAGAACGTCCCTTCCTCTGCAGGCAAACAAGACAAGCTTTCAGCCTTGGAAACCAAAATTGCCTGTGGTCTAGTTATTCCGTGCCATGGTTTGACCACACAAACAGAAACATTTCTCAGAGCTATGAGACTTGTTTGGTCCCTTGCCTCTCTGAGTGACAGGAAAAGGACAGTGAGGGCTTCCAGTAAGGGCTTGCTTGTAAGTAAGGCCTTGGAAAATGTCCTGCGGCAAAACTCAAACATTAGAAACTAAGGGCATGATTCAGGGGCCTTCATGATCATGTGGCTCTCAGAGTTAAG